CAAAGAACTTGAAAATGTATCTGTAGACACTTTGTTACCTGCTGCAAAAAGCTGTAATTTGCTCCAATTTCTTTAGTTGAATCTATAAAAATTTCTGGAGTTTGACAGGCATGAAACAGCATTTTTACGCCAAAGATCTATCCAGTCTTTAAGTGATGACGTGATGAATCCTGCTTCCGGGCCCAAACTACCCTGCATTTAATAAGGCTTTTGTGTTTTTAACATGTTTTAATGCTTTGTATCTTGTTCTATTTAATCTTTAAAAAAAAAGTGATCACTGACTCTCGGCCTCTCTTGGTTTTTATGACCACTATTCATGTTAAAGTTCAGTTTTTAAACCCTCACGATGTAACTCCAGCCCATGCAGCAGTATATTAGTGACTGACCTTATATTGTGGATGGATTATCTCACTTGTTCTCCTGACAGAAGTTTGGTCTGTTTACAGCATCCTGCCATGTGATTGCGTTTGTCCCTAACCATCGAGAATCCTCATGTCAACTTCTATCGAGTGGAAAAAAGTTAGTGTTCATCCTCCAGCTTCACTATGCTAATCTCGTGCTAACATAGATGTGTAGCTACCACGTAGCACATCATTATAAACCAGCTAGTCCAACTTCAGTAACCTTACAAACATCACTGCTGTTTACTTTCCTGTCTTCATTTATGTCAGAAGTGATAGACATCTTGATTTGTTTAAGAAATCTCTCAGTCAGCACAGGTTATATTATATTTAGATGGAAACTAGCACGCTAAGTCTCTGCTAACTTCTAACTCTGTTAAATGTCATAAATTCCGTTTTCATGGATGTCTGGATGTTAAACTTAATTGTTACACCTGGTAGAGCAGAACGCTGATCATTTTATTACAGATGAAAGAATTTAGACAGTTTTTCAACTCTCAGTAATGCCATAGTGATCGTTTGACTTTGGGACCAGGGCCCTGTGCTTCGTACGTCGCTCACTACATCCAAGATCAAATGAAACATCCAAGACCAAACCATCGCGCTAACCGTGAGCGCGCTAATCCAACTGAGATGGTATCTTAAACACAAGTACGTGGCAGCACTTGCCACATCCATACCATGTGAGAGGTTATTTTCACTTTCTGGCCATGTTGATCAGAAGAAGCGCTGCCCTGTCGTCTGAAAATGTCAAATGCTTGAGCAACTGGTTCAGTGCAAAGAAACAAATGCACTGTATGTTATTAGTTCTTTTTTTCTTTCTCCTTTGTGGTGTTTCCATGTTCATGTTTTGTTAGGAAAACAGAAAAAGGAAGACGCTTGTGTTGCTCAGCCTCTCCTAAATACAAGTGGAGAGCAACAAGAGGTATAGCCACTGTTTAAAGGCTTATGTATAACACTCTCCACAGTTACATATGCTTTTTATTTATTGTATTATGGTTTTTAGCGTGTATAGTGTCTCCCTGTTTTGATCCCACTTAGATGGGAATATGTTTTTTGAGCTTTAACAATCTAATGGTAAATTAAACAGTCACATTTTATAAAACACTGCCGTGTATAGTAACAGTGTTACAGTTGTGTTGATTTATTTGTGCATGTTGCAAAGGTTCAATGAAGAGAGGAAATCTAAATCACGCATATATGAGTCACATTGAATTTCACAACAAGCCTGGTTTGAGTATGTGTATTGTCCTAAAACAGGAAGCAGAAGGATGGAGTATTTATGTGGCTTTGCCTACAGTCATGCTGAGATGCAGTTTGATGACGCTTACCACTGACAGCGATGTTGATGGCATTACTGCTGTGACCATGTGTGGACTGGCACCAGTAAACACCTGAATTAGAACGCTTGACTGTCTTCATTTCACAGGTAGGGGAAGACTCAGTACCCCAACCCGAGGTGCAGTCAGACAGTTTCAATCTGAGGACACATTATATATTTTAATCAGTTACACATGTGAAATTTATTTATTTCAGTTCCTAAAATGATTAATGAATTAAGTAACAATTTATTTCTGTAATGGACTGGATTTAACTCTCCATGTTACACTGAACAGTTTCTAAATTATTCAAACATTCTCAAACGAGGACGAGGACATGATATAATAGCATTTTCCAGATATCTCCTGGTATCCTTATCACTCACAAAGTGGTTCTGTTGCTCTTATTCCAACTTACTAAATATCAGTTTTTCAGTAGTTTTTCACGAGACCTTTCGAATATTTTCTTCATTTTTCTTGCTGATTTGTTTCTTTTCTTCTGCTTTTTTGCTTTCACTGAAAGTGATACGACTGCTGTGAAACAGCAACCCTACTCACTGAAAAATAAAGATACTGAAACAAAAGGGTAAATGAGCCATACGTGAAGGTTGACAGCATTGACTGACAGCCCAAGAATAACACAGTACCAACTTTCATGGTTACATTTGTAACAGTTTGTAACCAGGAACCAGTTTGACCTTTAAAACCCAAGTATTAAAAAGGTGGAGCTTTCCAGGGTGGCTGAAGGTACACCAGGTAGAGCCGGAGCTTTACTAATTAGGTTGGTGGTTCCATCCCAAATTTCAGAAAACAATTTAAGGCAAAGAAGGGTTAACATGAGTTAACATTAGTTAATCTAACTCCAAAAAAGCCATGAAAGAGAGGCTTTGGCTACCGGACAGATGAGTTAAATCTCTACTAATGCTCTTATCACCATACTTCTCCAAACAGGGTGAAGTGGTAAAAAAGATTAAGTCTTAAGTCAGATGCTGTGTTTTTGTTCTTGTTTTTTGTCATGAAGATGGCTCTCCTTTTACCAAACTAGATCACTGTAGTAACTGATACTAAATGTGCAATATGATCTGTAGTAGGCCAAAAGTTCAAAATCAGCAGGAAGTGCCACAGTTTTACTTTATCTGCAGTTATAAGTGCTACACAGACTCCCTGCTCAAGGACTAGGTTTCTAAAAATGTCAAAATCAAAAGTTTGGTTGTCCTCATAGCTTCAACTTGTTAAGCAGCAATAATTAGCTCAAGATGCAAATAGAAGCAACATCACCTAAGGATAATTCAACTTTCAATACAACTATAGGAATGGTGATAAAACTGTATTTTACTATATTTCTTATTATATGGATGGATTTATGGATTCTTAATATATATGAACAGATAATCACAACCCAGACTAACATTATCTGAAATAAGGAAACACACCTAAAGGGCGATTAATAGTGTCTGGAAATTAAATGTATATTGGATTTGTTGTTAGTTGAGTGAAACATTAATAATGGTCTTCCTTTAACCTGTCAGATTTGTTCTGTGTGCATTTTGGTATTTCAGAGGTAAACTGACCCTTCTGCAGTGTATCTCCACACCGTCCATTCACCAGAGGTTATCTCGTCACAGCTGAGAGTAATTTTCTCGTACTCAAAAAACTGAGACCAGTTGGGAATGACCTTCAAAGAAGCTGAGAGAGACAGAAGAACAGTAACAGTAACAGTTTTAGTTTAGTTTAATTTTACAGTTTACAGTAACAGAAGAACAGTAGGGTTTTTCCTTTCAGTATCAGTCATTTTTTGGGTGTCTAGACACAAAGACACATTTCACTTCTTAATATTTTGCTTTGAAGGAGAAAGAATGTCTTTTAATTTTTTAAAGAGGTCTTGATCAGCAGTTCTCCAGGCTTTCTGAAAGTCTATCAAAGACTTTACTTGGATATTGGCTCCTTTGGCACTCATTTGTCGAACCATTTTCAGATAAATGTTTGTTTTGGGTTTTTTTGTTTGGTTTGGTTGTAAACACTAAGTAATGAATCCTTCCAACACCTAAGACATGACCCAGTATTGTATCACCACATATTAGACAAATGGTAAATAGACTGGCACTTTTCTACTCTGCCTGAGCACGCAAAGTGCTTTATACTACTAATTCATTCACCCAATCACACCCATTCACACAAGCACTTCTTCCAAGATTAAGTGCTAAGTATCTAACATTCATACTCCGATGGATGCATCGGAGAGCAACATGGCGTTAGCAAATTTGGGACAGAAAACTGACGGCTTAAGCGGAGAATTGTGCAGGACTGGAGCAGCCTGGCATCAAACTACCGACCTTCTGGTTAGTGGCTGATCTGCTCTGCCACCTGAGCTACAGCCACCCTGACAACTTGACAAAGAATTTAAAAATGTATCTGTAGACACTTTGTTACCTGCTGCTAAAAGCTATAATTTGCTCCAATTTCTTTAGTTGAGTCAATAAAAATTGGAACAGCATGAAATAGTATTTTTTGCACCAAATACCTATTAGCTAAAAAAAAAATAGTCATGTACCCTTAAAGAAGCTAAAATAAAAGCCATTCTTAAAGAAGGGAGAAAAGAGGGAGAAAAGGCAAAGGTATTGACAAAAGAACTGCACTGAAAGTGACAACTTTTAGCCATAACAGATCGTGTGAAATGATAAAACGTTGGTTTAAATCATCATCAATATGTATGGAGGTCAGGAGAGAGGTGCAATAGTGAGTACAGCCGTCTTTGCTATGGGGCTTCAGTTGGTGGTGTTGACGTTCTTGTCAAAGAGCAGCATCAGATTTTTCATCTATCATGAAATACCATCTGAAAAGCATCTGATTGATAGCAGATTGATTTTTCTGCATGGAAATGAGCTCAAACACTGCCACTGCAGTAAAAGTACACCTTGGTAGAAGAACACGCCATCAGGAACACCATGAATCATAGTCATCAACATCCAAATAAGATTTTTGATCCTTCGAGAGCCTTCCTTTGGCCTAAAGAAAACCCGCCTTTCTCTGTTGAACCTGCACCAATGAGAGCCGTGCCTCCTAAGTCGACTGACTTCCTGTTTCCTCCCCATGCAATGGCCTAAATAAGATAAGCATGTGGTTCTTTTGGGCTTTCTGAACATTTGCTGAATAAAAATGCTCAAATTCTGATTTTTCAGCTCAGTGCTGTTTCTGAGGGGTTATTATTTGAGACCAGATGTTAGCCAAAGTGAATAAATGCACTCACTGAATTAATCAAAAACCCAGAGAGTTACCAAGTTAGTGAAACAGGGTAACAACTGAGCTTTGCAATTGCTGTCGTTACCATAATGAGTCTGAGAGATCTGATGATGGTGTGCTTCACTTCACACACACACAGAAGAAATGTAATGAATACAACTCATGTGTTATGTTGCCCCACAGCAGTAATAAACAGTAAAGTAAGGCAGTTATTTGTTCTTGTGCACCGATCGGACATTTATCTGCTGTGTGACATGTTGTCTTACAGATCACTAGTGGACAACTTGACAAAGAACTTGAAAATGTATCTGTAGACACTTTGTTACCTGCTGCAAAAAGCTGTAATTTGCTCCAATTTCTTTAGTTGAATCTATAAAAATTTTTGGAGTTTGACAGGCATGAAACAGCATTTTTACGCCAAAGATCTATCCAGTCTTTAAGTGATGACGTGATGAATCCTGCTTCCGGGCCCAAACTACCCTGCATTTAATAAGGCTTTTGTGTTTTTAACATGTTTTAATGCTTTGTATCTTGTTCTATTTAATCTTAAAAAAAAAGTGATCACTGACTCTCGGCCTCTCTTGGTTTTTATGACCACTATTGATGTTAAAGTCAGTTTTTAAACCCTTACAGATGTAACTCCAGCCCATGCAGCAGTATATTAGTGACTAGACCTTATATTGTGGATGGATTATCTCACTTGTTCTCCTGACAGAAGTTTGGTCTGTTTACAGCATCCTGCCATGTGATTGCGTTTGTCCCTAACCATCGAGAATCCTCACTGTTAACTTCTATCGAGTGGAAAAAAGTTAGTGTTCATCCTCCAGCTTCACTATGCTAATCTCTGCTAACATAGCTGTGTAGCTACCACGTAGCACATCATTATAAACCAGCTAGTCCAACTTCAGTAACCTTACAAACATCACTGCTGTTCACTTTCCTGTCTTCATTTATGTCGAGAAGTGATAGAGACTGATCTTGATTTGTTTAAGAAATCTCTCAGTCAGACATGCATATTTATTTAGATAGAAGCTAGCGAGCTAACTCCCTGCTAACTTCTAACTCCGTTAAATGTCATAAATTCCGTTTTCATGGATGTCTGGATGTTAAACTCAATTGTTACACCTGGTAGAGCAGAACGCTGATCATTTTATTAAAGATGAAAGACTTTAGACAGTTTTTCAACTCTCAGTAATGCCATAGTGATCGTTTGACTTTGGGACCAGGGCCCTGTGCTTCGTACGTCGCTCACTACATCCAAGATCAAATGAAACATCCAAGACCAAACCATCGCGCTAACCGTGAGCGCGCTAATCCGGTTCCCCGAACACACCTGCTGTTGACGATTAGTACAGCTGGACGCAGTAATGTGACATCACTGGGTGTCGTAAAAGGGGCTACGCATCGATAGTAGAAACATTGATCGGCAACCCGCTGATTGGTCGGCGAAAATGTCGAAGGGGCGTGCTCGGTATTTTCCGGCAGCAGAGCAAGAACTCATGAGTGAGGGATTTCAGGAGTTTCAGAGTTTAATTAAAACGCAAGGGAACACTGCAAAGGCTGCAAAAGCAAGGAGAGAGGGCTGGCAGAAAGTTGCTGACAAATCAAACTCGTAGGTAATTTAATAATAATAATAATGGATTGGGTTTATATAGCGCTTTCCAAGGCACCCAAAGCGCTTTACGATACCACTATTCATTCACTCTCACATTCACACACTGGTGGAGGCAGCTACGGTTGTAGCCAGGCTGCCATATCGCGCCATCAGCCCCTCTGGCCAACACCAGTAGGCGGTAGGGTAGATCTATCATATGACACTATATTGTCCAATATTATATTACATTATATTATATGTTATATTATATCCCCTTTCACATTAGAGCCACAACAGGACCCACTAGAACATGGGAACAAGTAAAAGTGGAATACAGGAATATTCTACAGAATGGTAATATTTATCTCTTAGATTGCTTTTCGTCTCTTGGCAAGGTAATACTGGCCTGTAATACTCTGTTAGTTTGTTCATAACAGCAACCAAGAAAAGGGCAGAGGAAAAAAAGACAGGTGGTGGTCCTGCACCCCCTCGTCAACAAGTTGGTTAAGTAAATAATACCCTCACGGGAATATCGATATCTCTCAATGAGCACACTGTCGCGCTGAGCTAAAGGATCCTGTCTATCCCGCAATATACGCTGAATTCTGAAAACTCTCCTTATCAATCTTGCACCTTCCGCAATGGGTGGCTCGCGTAAACGGACAGGACATGGCTGCGACAGGCTTCCCAAATCCACCTTCGCTTTTATAGCCGTGGTCTCTCATCTTGATTACACGCAGTGATTTACAATTACTACTCTGAAATATGAATTACATCTGTAATAATCACATACATGTAATAGAATGTTAATAGTACATTTCCCTTTTTTAGGAAATGACCTGTATGTATCTGTGTGACATCAATAAAGGATCAGGTGCTGCATTATCTTTAGTTACATTGATGTTATTTATTTATGGTGAAACAGTGGTGGAATATCGCTGTTGCTTTCGTATAAATGAAGCGGACATACCTGCGTGGCCGCGATCTAATCCTGTTTACATAAAGTAAACCTGCTCCCGAGCAGGTTTACGCTTACGGCTCTGTTGCTATGACAGCAAGTCCCGGATGAGCTTCGGGGAACCGAACGATCCAGGATCACGCGAAATCGTCAACAATCTCATCCAGCTAACTCACTTAGCGCGGTACGAAGAACAGGCCCCTGGGGCCCGTTCTCAAAGTTAGCGCGATGATTTGATCTTGGATGTAGTAAGCGAGGTACGAAGAACGGACCCCTGCAGCGGAGTTTGGGCCCAGACACAACTAATGACGTCAGACTTAAAGACCAGATTAGATGAAAACCATGTGTACTGAAATGAATGTGGTTACCAAGGAACAAATGTGCGGCTTAAGCTAAGGCTACAATAACAATGCTTAGTTTGATAAAAGATACTTCATCAATACGGTTAGGGGACGTTTTTTTGTTTTGTTTGGTGATCGGTGAAACATTTTGGGACATTTTCCCAACCCCTTATTCCAATTTGATTTTGTTTTGAAGAAGAAATTACTCATGCAACTGTTTCTCTGTTTCTTGGGAGGAGAGT